GGTTACTCTTCTGATTGGTTTATCGTGACAGGTTACTCTTCTCTGATTGGTTTATCATGACAGGTTACTCCTCTCTGATTGGTTTATCGTGACAGGTTACTCCTCTCTGATTGGTTTATCGTGACAGGTTACTCTTCTCTGATTGGTTTATCGTGACAGGTTACTCTTCTCTGATTGGTTTATCATGACAGGTTACTCCTCTCTGATTGGTTTATCGTGACAGGTTACTCTTCTCTGATTGGTTTATTGTGACAGGTTACTCCTCTCTGATTGGTTTATCGTGACAGGTGCTCCTCTCTGATTGGTTTATGGTGACACGTGCTCCTCTCTGATTGATTTATCGTGACAGGTTACTCCTCTCTGATTGGTTTATCGTGACAGGTGCTCCTCTCTGATTGGTTTATCGTGACAGGTGCTCCTCTCTGATTGATTTATCGTGACAGGTTACTCCTTTGGTTTATCATGATAGGTTACTCCTCTCTGATTGGTTAAAGTCTCAGTGTGACAGCAGTATACAGGTGACTCCTCAGATTAAAGGAAACAACCTGAATCCCATAAACACCTCCTGCAGGATGAGTCAGCAGAACACCTGACACAAACGTATAATCATTGTCACTCTTCTTTGTCCTTAGCTGCAGGCTGAAACTCAGGTTATGACTGAGGTTAGTCCAAGAACCCAGGAGAGGTTCAGGCTCTTTGTTCACCTGTGTATGAACAGTACAGGTGTGTTTCAGTTAGGTACAAACAGGAACAAACCATGCCTCTGCTGAATTTTCTAGTGTTTAAAGGTAAACATTCTGCTGAGTCATTGAAACTTTAAACTATTCAGAACCACTCAGCTTCATTTTATCTTTCCTAATGTCCTGCCCATCACTAACGAGCTCTGATTGGACTCACCTGAAGATTCTGATCCAATCTCTGTTTAACTTGATCCGCTTTCAGAGGACTGAGGTTCTGATAGGAAACATCTCCAGAACTTTAACCAGCTTCATGTTCAAAATATCTGACCCTGTAGTCAGATGTGTAGGTGAGGGGGCGAGGGAGGGTGGTCAGCAGGTCAGATCTGTAGGTGAGAGGGGGTCAGCAGGTCAGATCTGTAGGTGAGAGGGGGTCAGCAGCAGGTGTCTGCATGTCTGCAGGTAAACCCCAGCAGTAGAACAGGTTAGTCGTCAACATGTTTGCTGTGTGACGGTTTGTTTTCTGTTTGTTGCATCAACTGAAACATGAGTTCTTCTACACATAAAGTTCTGCCGGGTCAAACGGGTCGACTCCTCTGTGCTCCCCAGGTTTAGTATCGGAAGTTAATCCTATGTTTGTCAGGTCTGTTGTGAAAGGAGGTCCTGAGACCAGTCGGGTCAAAGGTTCTGGTGGCTTGTCTCACAGAAACCCAGGGCTGAGGCCCAGCAGATCCTGGACCCTTGTTCAGCTGTTCTGTTGTAGGGTTTGTGGTTCTGTCCACATTGTGACCCGGTCCGGTCAGACCCTTTCAGAGGAGCTGTACGTAGTTGATCTTATCTTCTTCTTCTTCTACTTTTAGTTACTGTATTGTTGCTTTTAGTAAAGGTAAAGGTAAAGGTGCTTTATTTGTCATCAGTGTATGTTTCCACACAATGACGAAATTGTGCTCTGCATTTAACCCATCCACACCCAAGTGGAGCAGCGGGCAGCCATGTGAGGCGCCCGGGGAGCAGTGAGGGTTAGGTGTCTTGCTCAAGGACACCACGACACGTGGGTATGGCGGGGAGTCGAACCTAAGACTTCGGGTCCCAAGCTGGCTGCTCTACCACTACACCACAGCCGCCCCCAGTTACTGTATTGTTACTTTTAGTTACTGTATTGTTGCTTTTAGCTACCGTGTTGTTGCTTTTAGCTACTGTGTTGGTGCCTTTAGCTACTGTGTCTCCAGTTAGATGTCAATAAATCCTTGAACTGATAAAAACAGGAAGTTGTATTTTCAGTTATTTATTTATTTTTTAGTAGGCTTTGTGTTTTCAGCTGCGTTTTTATGAACTAAAGTTTTATTGGGTTCCTGAAGGTCCTGGTTCGGCTCAGTGAAGTGGGTCCAGTAAAACCAGGTCTGACTGTGTATGTTGTGTTCCAGAACCTTCAGAGAGGTGAGATGGAGGATGGAAAGCCAGTCTGGGCGCCTCACCCCACAGACGGGTTCCAGCTGGGAACCATCGTGGACATCGGAGCCGACAGCCTCACCATCGAGCCTCTCAAACAGAAAGGAAAGGTGAGCTAATCCCTGGTACCTGGACCCGGATTATGTCCAGATTAAAGACCAGATTAAATACCAGTATTGTGTCCTGACTAAAGACCAGGTTATA